TATGCAAGGCCGACTGACTATCACAATAGAGACGCATGGGCTGCGAATGCGGCACACCAAGGCTGTGCAGCAATCCTTTCAACCATTTGAGCTCACAAATAACAGTGGCCATAGCCCGATACTCAGCCTCCGCAGAAGAGCGCGCCACAGTGGGCTGTTTCTTGGTACGCCAAGAAATCGGAGACTGGCCCAACTGAACAAACCAGCCACTAAGAGAGCGACGAGTAAGTGGACACGCAGCCCAGTCAGAATCACACCACCCAGAGAGCTGAAGATCAGAGTCAGAACGAAGCAGAATACCTTGTCCAGGGGATCCCTTGAGGTAACGAACAACACGTAGCGCAGCTTCCCAATGCGCTCGCCTAGGCTGATGCATAAACTGAGCAAGAACATGCACCGAGTAAGAAAGCTCAGGACGTGTAACAGCCAAATAAATCAGACGACCGACCAGGCGCCTATATGCCTCCGAGTCGTCGAAGAAGGGACTAGCATCATCAAGGAGACGATGATTCTGTTCCAACGGAAACTCCACCGGCCTTGCCCCCAACAAGCCAACCTCGGAGATGATGTCCAAAGCATATTTTCGTTGACACAAGAAGATGCCAGAGGAGTTGCGAGCCACCTCAATACCCAAAAAATACTTTAAGGAACCCAAATCCTTCATGTGGAAGCAGCGACTCAAGTAACTTTTAAAGGCTCCAATGGACACAGGATCATTGCCAGAAACGATAAGGTCATCAACATACACCAAAACCTGCAGGTGAACAGATCCACGACGCAAGGTAAATAAAGAGTAGTCAGAGTGGGACTGAGAAAAACCATACTGACAGAGAGACGTAGCCAGCTTCGCAAACCAGCACCGAGGAGCCTGCTTCAATCCATAGAGAGAGCGACGCAAACGACACACACGCCCAGTATCACCAGTTCGAAAACCAGGAGGAAGCTTCATGTAGACCTCCTCATCCAAGTCACCATGAAGGAAGGCATTGTGGACATCCATTTGATGGACCTCCCACTGACGAGCGGAAGCAACAGCTAAGAAAGTCCGTACTGTCACCATTTTAGCAACAGGCGCAAAAGTCTCATGATAATCAACCCCTTCCACCTGATTGTTACCTAGAACCACCAGTCGTGCTTTATAGCGCTCAACAGCTCCATCCGAACGATACTTAATCTTGTAAATCCACTTACAACCGATAGCACGCTTGCCGGGAGGAAGAGAGACCACCTCCCAAGTCCCATTATTCTCGAGAGCCTGGATTTCATTCTGCATCGCTACGCGCCATCGACTATCAGTGGCAGCCTCAGCAAACGTACGAGGCTCGACAGTAGAAGCCAGAGCGGCCAAAAAAGACTTGTGGTCCGATGAGAAATTATCACAACTCACATAATGTGCGATAGGATAAGGCGTACCTGAAGTAGGTGAGGAAGCAGACAGAGCAATAGGGGGACCAGGGGGACAGACAGTGGCAGTAACAAAATCACGGAGGCGACTCGAGGGAAAACGGGTGCGATGACCATGACCCAACACACTGTCTGGAGCAGCAGGAACAGAAGGACCCCCCTGTCCTCGGAAGGGCCAGAAGAGACTACAATCGAGTGATCATCAGGGGATGTCGGAGCAGACACAGGCGCAGGCGGAACCACAACCGAGTGATCATCATCTGAAGCCGACGGAGGAGGCCAAGTAACAACAGGGGGGACCGAAGTGATTGAAGAAGCCGGAGGTGACTCCTCATAAGGAAAAACTGTCTCAACGAAGTCAATATCACGAGATACTAAGAAAACTTGTCGATCCAAATCATAGACACGCCATCCTTTCTGCCCAAGAGGATAACCCACGAACACCCCTTTATGACTGCGACTAGCAAATTTGTCTCCCCGATGGTCCCGGTTATACACATAACACAAACACCCAAAGACACGCAACCGAGAATAATCAGGCAATTTTCCATAGAGCATCTCATACGGGGTTTTATTACCCAAAACATGTGAGGGAGTGCGATTAATTAAATGAGCAGCCGTAAGAATACAATAGCCCCAAAATTGAAGAGGTAGATGGGCCTGAAAGCGCAAGACACGAGCCACATTAAGAATATGTTGATGTTTCCGTTCAACACGGCCATTTTGCTGAGGGGTACCAACACAAGAGGTT